ACCTCCCCAACCCTTCGGCAAATACATCAGGGAACAGGTCGTACAGCATGCCCCATTTATTTTCAGACATCCTGTTAATCCCAGAAATACCAATGCCCAATGGCTCAAACCAATCTAACCCTAGCAGGTTAACCCGGTCTCCCTCTGCAATCAGGAATGACAGTTTAACACATTTCCCCTTATACTCAACAGTAACAGAGTCCCGTCCGGCCAAGGGAATTCGGTTGCCCTGGAAGTCGGACACTCTGGTTCCCGCAGGCTGGAGCCGCCGCCGGCTTCGGTTCGGGAACAACTGGCGCCAGGACGCGGCAGAAATCACCGTCACGGACGATCCTGAGTCCACCTCCATTGTACAGGGTCGGCCGTCGAGGAGTGGAGTCACGGTGATCTTGCCCTGGCTGCTGGTGCGATTTACGGCCGATGCGCTCGACAAGGTCGCCGTCAACTGGCAGCTTGCTTCCGATGCTGAGGAACGGGTCTTGCCTTGGGTGCTGACTGGAGTGCCCCTCTGCGCTGACCGGTTGTTAGTTGAGGGATCCTTCTTTGCTGATCTGCAGACTCTGGCCAGATGACCACGCCGCCCACACGCTCTGCAGTCGACATCACGAGCCCAACAGGAGTCGCGCTGGTGTTTCCCGCCACAACCGGAGCAAGGCTTGACGTTGGTAGTCTTCGCTGGGGTCCGCTTGCCTCGAACCGCGTTGACGTCATCATCCGCGTCTTCGCCCTCGCTGTCTCGTTGAGCGTGTATACTGGGCTCTGCCACCCGCTGGCGGACCTCCTTCGTGGACTTCTCCGCTGCTTCCGCGGCCACGGCCTCTTCGTAGGCCACTGCCCAGGTCAGGGTGGTGCGGGCGAACAGCCTCTGTTGCAGCCTTTCATCTTTGAGACCGCAGACGAGACGGTCTCTGAGGGCTTCCTCCACGTTGTGGAAATTACATGGCCGTGCGGCTTTGCGAAGGGCCGCCACGAAATCTGCGATGGTCTCGCCTCCGGCCTGGTTCCGCTTGTAAAAAGCGTGCCGGCAGGCGATCTCCGACGGTTGTGGAGAATAGTGAGCCTTAAGCTTCTCCGTGATGTCAGCGTAGGTGACAGTCTTTATATCAGTTGGGGCCACCAACGACCTGGCTATGTCGAAGGTCCCCTTCCCGCAGGAACTCAGGAGGCATGCTCGTTTCTTCGCCTCATCGGTGATGTCGTGGGTCTCCAGATGGAACTCGAACCTGGACAGGTAGGAGTCCCAGTCTTCTGAGGAGGGTTCGAAGCACTCGAACTTCTGGCTTCCAGCCATCGTGGGAGACTTGGGCACCGGAGCTGGTGGCGCCTCCGCCGGATCGGCTGCTGTGCTCTGCTCGCTTTCTTCCGAGTCCGAAGTGTGGATGTCCGCAGGGCTGCCTACCTGCTCTAACATCCCACCTTCGTCGCCAATTGTTAGATCGCGCTAACAAAGGACTCTTAGAGTGATTCAGCAAGTGATTCAGCTTTATTGGAAGTAACGAGCAAGCACTAACTCAGTAAGAAACCAGAACAGAAAACAGTGGGAGCTTATGCTCCTTTTAAACATAACCGGGCTAATGTAGCCACGCCTATTTACAAATAACAACCAATGAGATTGCTAGAATAAAGACCAATGGGGATCTTTCCCTCCTAGGGAATGGTATCGTTCTGATTGGTCGCTGTTACGAAACGACCAATAGGAAGTTCGCTCAGAGGAGCCCTGGTCTGGCTCGAAGCTTAACATGGGAGTCCTATGAGGTGATTCATGTAATCATTTCAATACATTACATTGTCCTCCAGCCTTTCAGTGTCTTGGAATAAGATACTGTGTCCTGTTTGAGTTAGGCGATGTTCAGCCACTGCTGATTTTTCATTGGTTCTAATTTTGTCATGTGCTTTGAGTGCCAATGAGAAAGGCAGACTATAAGTACAGTAAAGAGACAGGTTCTCTGGCATGAAGCCGGTGTGAATTTGTGTGGGGCTTGCTTCCCCCCTCCCTCTTTTCATACCCACTTCTGCTAGGATTGCCAACCTCCTAGGGTTGCCAGGTCTTCCCCAGCCACTGGCAGGGGACGGAGGGGCAGGACTGCCAGATCCAGGTTGGGAAACTTCTGGAGATTTGGAGGTGGAGCCTGTGGAGGGCAGGGACATCAGTGGGATACAATGCCACAGAGTCCCCCCTCCAGAGCATCCATTTTCTCCAGGGGGAACTGACCTCTGTAGTCTGGAGATAAGCTGTAATTTTCCAGGGGAGTCCCCAAGTCCCACTTGGAAACTGGCATCCCTACAAACTCCAAGTGAGGCCTGGAGATCTTCTGGAGCCAGTTTGGTGTAGTGGTTAAGTGCGTGGACTCTAATCTGGGAGAACCGGGTTTGATTCCCGCACTCCTCCACTTGCAGCAGCTGGATGACCTTGGGCAAGCCATAGTTCTATCAGACCTGTCCTTAGAAGAGCAGTTTCTCTCAGAGCTCTCTCAGCCCCACCTACCTCACAGGGTGTCTCTTGTGGGGAGGGGGAAGGGAAAGGAGTTTGTAAGCCGCTCTGAGTCTCCGAGTGAAGGGCGGAGTATAACTCCAATCTCCTCCTCCTTCTCCTTCTGTTTTTACAGCTCAATCTCCAGACTACAGAGTTCTGTTCCCCTGCAGGAAACAGCTGCTTTGGAGGGTGGGCTCTCCGGCATTGTACCATGCTGAGGTCCATCCCATCCCCAAACCCCACCCTCTCCAGGCTCCATGCCCCAAATCTCTAGGTATTTCCCAATCCAGAGCTGGCAGGCCTAGGTCTTCTGCAATGCCTCCCCGATCCTTCCATGGGGCCCCTGGCCTGCCCGCCTCAGAGTCGCGGGGGGGGGGTCACTCTCCAGGCCTTCCCTCTGTAGCCATGCATGAAGAGGTTTTGGCTGTAGTGGCTGTGGCCAACTCTGAAGCCAGCCGGAACTCCGTTCCTGTGCGTTCCTGCCCAAAAATAGCCCTGGTTGAAACTAAACAGCAGTCAAGGGACTTTCAACGCTGGGCCTGCAAGACTGAACTCCTCGTAGGCAGCTTCCTTAAACTCCAGATACGTCACACCCACCAACACACCACATACCTGCTGTCTCCATCACTATTAAACCAGGCTGGTATTTCTAATCCATTGGCAATTCCCACTTCTGGGCTGCTGCCTTAGAAGACAGAACTGTCGGGTTTTTCTCTGGGGGGGACGCATAGCAACGTCCTTAGGGGTGACTTTTGCTTGCGTGCGTCTCTGCAGCACAGTTTATGCCATAAGCTGTTCATCAGGTGTCCTTTCCTTTGCTGTGACTCAGATTTCTCCTTTGCGGCCTTCCTCCCCTTCTTCTGGGCTGCCCTTGCCGCTTCAGGGTTCTCCAAACACCTGAGCGGAGTCTCCCTCAGCCTCAGCCTCCTCCCATTCTGTCTGGCTGCTGGTGTGGTAGACAGGGAGAATTTCCCCAGTTCCTCCATGCTTAAATTCTCACCTCTGAGTTCCTTCTGTTCACAATGGTAAGTTGATTTGAGCCCGCTTTGCAGGGAGGGCGCCAGGTAGTATAAAAGTTTAATAATAATAATTGTATTCAAGACTTACACTGCCACGGTTTAGCTTTGCTTCAGCTAAATAACACTTGAAACAAAACTTCAGTGCTTACGGTATGAGAGAATCCCCCCCTTCAGTCTGTCTAGGTGCATAATTATTTGTATCCCACCAGTAATATCACCAGATTTCACAGAATGGGAGATCCACACACTCAGGCCTGTGTGCGAGAACGGTGCCACACAGGCTGAGATCTCCCAGGTTGCCAGACCAGTTTAAGAGCACCTGTTTCCCTCTTGTCACCCCGCCCCCCAAGGTCTCTAACCCCTCCTCAGTGGTGAAGTTGCATTTTAAGCTTAGGCATAGAAGAGGGAGCAAATCTGGTGAGCCAGTTTGGTGTAGTGATTAAGAGCACAAACTCTAATCTGGGAGAACCGGGTTTGATTCCCCACTCTTCCACATGCAGCTGCTGGTGTGACCTTGGGTCAGTCATAAGTCCTTTCTAGAGATGTGAAGGCCCGGAAAAAAACTGGAAAAAATTCTGAAAAAAACCGTCCCCCGTCCCCCCACCCCGTTTTTTCCCCTGAAGCCCTTTTTGGTTTTTTTGGAAAAATTGGAAAAATTGAAAAAAGAAAAGGAAAAAAAATTGATTATGGAACATTTTATTTTAGGGGTGAGGGGGTCAGTAGCAGCCTCCAGTTGCAAATATAAGAACTGGGTGTTGAGCAGATGCCAAATGGAACCTGCAAGTCCCTGGAAAGGCTGAGAATAGGGGGGGAAATTATACTAACAATACTGCAGATTAATTTTATATAATGGCCCAGGTAAGAGTCAGTGGAAGCCAAAATGGGTAATATTACCTAGTGGCAGTGGGAAGAAACCCCATGAGTCTTTTTTCCTGGTCCCCTTCTTCCACCTGAAAAATTCTTTTTATTGGCTACATTCAGCCCAAATATTTGCAGTTGGAGGCTGCTGTTTTCCCCACCCCACCACCATCACCTTCTCAGAAGACTAAAAGAGCAACTGGTGCCCTCTCTGCCAAGCACCCACATCTGTTCAAATCTATCCAGCATTCTACACAGGATACGCACACGATACCGTAACATTGGGGCCTGAAAGCATCTTGTCCCCAACCCCTTTTTGTTCCTGTAACCTTTTATTGTGACCAACCAAAGTATGACATGGTTTTTAAATACACAAATCCACCCAACTGGGCATAAACAAACCGCAAATCCTGAAGTTTGTGCTCGAAGCAGACAACGGAAATGTCAGGATGGCATACACCAGAGTTTCCACCACAGCTAGTGAAGCAGGCATGAGGCTCAGAGACAGCAAATTCCTCTAAGGTCACCTAACAAATGATGCAGGATTTGAACCAGAGACTTCCTGGCTCACAGTCTGTTCTTTGAATAATGATATGGCGTCGGCTTCTCCTTATCTCGCCCTCACCATTTTCTCTCTTTGGCCCTCCCAGCGCCTTGAACAAGAGAAGCACGAACTCCGCCGGCGTCTTGAATCAGGCCAGGCCGAGTTCGAGATTCGCGTGACAGAACTGGAGAATGACTTGACAGCTGCCCGAGCCCAGCTGGGACAGCAGCGTCTGGAGCAGCAAGACACCAGCCGCGAGAGCTCGCAGGCCGTCCTGGACATGTCGGAACAGAACCAGCGCCTGGTGGATCAGCTCAGCCAGGTGAGATGGGGTCAGTCAGTTAAGAGAAGCGGGAGGGCCAGGAGGTTTGCCAGGAAGGCTAACGCTGCCTTCTAATCGATGCACAGTGAGCAGACATTCAACAGGTGAAGCTTTATTTACAACTGCCCTCTCGGGCCTGGGAAATGCTTCACCGGCTGACTTCCCGCCTGTCACACAGCTGATAGAGAGTTAAGGACTCTTTCCGGATAACAGGGTGGGAGATCAGTTTGTGGCTGCAGTTCGTGAGAGCTTGGTGCCAACTCATGGAAGGATGTGAGCCCCCAGAATGTGTTTTAACACATACTCCCCTCAGTGTTCCCTCTAAGCTGGGTGAGTGTGAGCTAGCTCACAGTTTCTTAGCCTCCGGCTCACACATTTTGGTCTTAGCTCAGGAAGGAGGGCTCCAAAGGAAACTAATTGATGCAGCAGCCAAATGGCTCGCTCACAACTTTAATGCCAGTAGCTCACAAAGCAGAATTTTTGCTCATAAGACTCCACTGCTTAGAGGGAACATTGCTCACGATCTTTATTTTAGTCCTCTGAAAGGTCTACGTCAAAGACAGGGAGGGCATGATGGGTTTGCCCTGACCCAGATGGCCCTGCCTAGCCTGATCCAATCAGATCCCGGAAGCTAAGCAGGGTTGGCCCCGGTTGGTACTTGGAGGGGAGACCACCAAGGAAGTCCAGGGTCACCACACAGAAGCAGGCCATGGCCAACCACCTCTGAACATCTCTTGCCTTGAAAACCCTACAGGGTTGCTGTAAGCCGGCTGCAACTCGATGGCACTTTGCACAAGTATGTGTTCGGGGGGGGGGATTGGACAGCCCTAATTGGACTAGAAGGCTGTGGACTAAAAGGCCACGGTAGCTCAGAGGTTAAGACGCTGAACTGCAGATCGGAAGGTCGGTAGTTCAGTAGTTCAAGACCCGAGTGCCACATGACGGAGTGAGCTCCCGTCTCTGGCCCCAGCTCCTGCCAACCTAGCAGTTCGAAAGCAAGAGATTCCAAGTAGATAAATAGGTACCGCTTCGGTGGGAAGGGAACAGCGTTCCGTGCACCTCGGCATTTAGTCATGCCGGCCACATGACCATGGAAACGTCTTCGGACAGCGCTGGCTCTTCGGCTTGGAAATGGAGATGAGCACCACCCCCTAGAGTCAGATTCGACTGGCTTTCAAGCAAGGGAAACCTTTATCTTTACCTTTAACTGGACTAAATGACTTCAGCTTTCAGGTGGGGGGAATCACATGATTAGTTGCTCACCCACAGAAAAAGATCCCTTCCTATTGCAAGCTATCTTGTAAGAAGTGATTCATGATGTGCCTTCTCCACACGGTGTGCTACTTTTCTAAGTGCGGGGAGATCACTGTGCAGGAAAGAGGAGGGGGGATCCAAGCAACTAAATTTCAAACATTTTGCTCTTTCGATTTGACCTGAAGGATACTTTTTACAAATCTTAAAACTGGTAAATCTTAATAATATCGCTATCGCAGACTGTCAGATAGAATATGTCTACGCTTGGGGTTATAATTTCTAAAAACACTGCATCTAAGAGCATCCATAGCTTGGAATATTGAGGCAACAAATACAATAGGGAGGAGAATTGGCTTGGAAACAGCCACTCCGCTTGTCTCCACAGTCTTTGGGAGGGTGCAGAGATTTAGGGGCCTGATCTGGATGGCCCAAGCCACCTGGCTTTAATCCAGGGGTGGCCAAACTCATGCGGCTCTTTTACACACAGCGCTTTTTTGGTAGAAAAAGCCAAGCAGGAACTCATTAGCATAATAGGCCACACCCAACAACAGAAACTCATTGGCATATCCAGCCACACCCTTGACAGCACAGCCTATTAGCCTATTAGGCCACACCCCCATGTTACCAGAAGTATAGTCATCCAGCCACGCCCACCTTTTGCTTCTTATTCTGTTTCTTCCTTTCTTCTCTCCCCTCCCTCCATTTGCTTTCTTCGTTTTCTCTTTTTGCCTCCCCCCCAATCTATTTGCTTTCTTTCCATCTTTCTTTTTCTGTTTCATTTTCTCCTTCTCTCTCTCTCTCCCCCTTCCCCCTCCACCCTCATCTATTTGCTTTCTTTCTCTCTTTTTCTTTCCACCTCTTGCATTCTTTCTCTCTCTCTCTCTCTCTCTCTCTCAGACAAATAAATATTGTTAGCAAACAAATAAATGTCATTGGACAGATAAATATCATTAAAAATATCTGTTTTTACCCCTTTCATTTTTGGCAGTCTCATTTAATGTTAACAAAAAGCAGATTTTCATATATTAAAATTAAAAACATTTGTTCCTGTCTTGTGGCTCTCAAACATCTGATGCTTATTCTATGGGGCTCTTTAAGCTGAGCAAGTTTGGCCACCCCTACTTTAATTGTTTAATTGTTTACAGGGCCTTTTTTGTAGAAAAAGCACAGCAGGAACTCATTAGCCTAATAGACCACACCCAACAGCAGGAACTCATTAGCATATTAGGCCACACCCCTGACAACACAGCTCATTAGCATACTAGGCCGTACCCCCATGTTACCAGAAGTGTGGCCATCCAGCCACACCCACCTTTTCCTTCTTATTCTGTTTACCTTGTTTGTTGTCAAAACCCAGGGCTTTTTTTGTAGCAGGAACTCCTTTGCATGTTAGGCCACACACCCCTAATGTAGCCAATCCTAATGAGTTTCTGCTGTTGGGCATGGCCTATTATGCTAATGAGTTCCTGCTGTGCGTGGCCAACTTGGGAGCCAGCCGGAACTCCGTTCCTGTGCGTTCCTGCCCCAAAATAGCCCTGATTGTTTAACTGTTTTTGTATCTTGGTTTTATTGTTTATATTATGTTGGGATGCAAGTTCAATAAAATTAAATAAATAAATAAATAAGCTTGGCAGGGTGAGCCCTAGTTAGTTCATAGGATGGGAAATCACCAAGGAAGTCCAAGATTGGTACACAGAAGCAATCAATGGCAAATCACCTCTGTTCCCCTCTTGCCTTGAAAACAGGGGGATGTGTCCATTAATCAGCTGTGACTTGATGGTACTTTCCACCAGAGAGTTACGTCTGTCTTTTCGCTCCATTTCCTCCTTCCTCCCTTGCAAAAAACCCAAACACATCCTAAACGCTCTACAGGGCCACCCTAAGAAGGGCCACACCCTTTTAAGCCCCCTTGAAAGAGGAGGGTGTAACTCTGCTTAGAACTTGCAGGGGAAACCAGACCAAACGTCTGCTGCGAGAGGCAAATGTGCTTTATGTGCCTCCTGTATTTATGGAACACGGTCTGTGAGCGCAGCCTGCTGCTCAGAGTTCTCCTTTGGCCTCTATTGAACCACAAAAGCGGGCGGAGCCGAGGCGTGCCCTCCGTGAAAGGTTTCTGTGTAAGAACAAGGGATCCATTGGAGCTAAATGAGAGGCCTGGTGAGGTCACACAGTTGTGTTGTTACAACACTGGGCTGGCTGGTGTCCAAGAATGTGGGAAACGAACAGCAAGGAGGGGCTGATAACAAGGTCAGATAAATGAGATAAGCCTTCCAGCGCTCTCTGCTCGGTTGAAAAGCAATAAATAATAATCCCACCGTTCACCATGGTGATGCCTCAAAGGGTCTCCTCTGGCCCTGGAGCAGCTACATTAGTGCTGTTGCTTCCTGGAACCAGTTTTAATAGGATGAGAAAGACTTCCCTCTGTATTAAGCAAATTATTAGGCTGTTCTAGGAACTGGAATGGCACACGGCCAGCGTCATACCGCTGATCTGGTCGTTCTCGTAAAAACCTTGAGAATTTCTTTTACTTTTAAAGCTCAGGTTTCTAGTTCTCAAGGAGGGGTCAGAGTGTGGCACACCAGTCAAAGGTGAATGGGCGGTTTGCAGTGATAATAACGCTTATGTAGCTTTTCCAGTGTTCCAATGGCTTCATACACATATTGGCCCGTATCCTGTCCCTCCACTGAACAAATTTGAAAGCCTTCCTCCAAATGTAAGCGGCTCTTCCACAAACAGAAGAGGCGCTTAAGCTGAAGGAAGATTCCTTAAGCTGGGAGCATTTTCTGCAGCCCAAGGTAGCATGTATACCATGAACTTGTTCCAGTTCTTTCACCAGCCCCGTAAGTTAGGCAGATATTGCCTCTATATTGGAGATGGAACCAAGGATAAGGGAGTGACTTGTTGTGGCCACCTGGGTGGCTCTGAGGTGGAGGCAAGACCCAGGACCTCCCAAATCATCACTCATCGTCTTAGTTTCTACATTTAGATGTAGAACAGAGGTGGTTTGCCATTGATTTGATTCAGCGTAGCGAGCGACCCTGGACTTCCTTGGTGATCTCCCATCCCGCTACTAACCAGGGCCCACCCCACCTAGCTTCCAAGATCTGATGAGGCCTTCCAGGTCAGGGCCCTAAATCTCTGTCCCCTCCCAAACACTGTGGAGACAAGCGGAGTGGATGTTTTCAAGCAAATTCTTTTCTGCTCTGAGGCTTCAAGTGAAGGGCAGGGTATACATCCAATCTCCTCCTCCTCCTCCTCCTCCTCTTCTTCTTCCCTACTGTATTCGTTACTACACTGCACAAGCTCCTCTTCACCTGAGGATCCCATTTTAACAATGTTCCCTCTAAGCTGTGGAGCCCTGTGAGCAAAAATTCTACTTTGTGAGCTACTGGCATTAAAGTTGTGAGCAGGTGATCTGACTACTGGATAAATTAGTTTGCACTGGAGCCCTCCTTCCTGAGCTAAGACAAAAATGTGTGAGCTAGAGGCTAAAAAAATGTGAGCTAGCTCACACTAACTCAGCTTAGAGGGAACCTCTTAAAAGGTAAAGGTAAAGGTTCCTTTGCTTGAAAGTCAGTCGAGTCCGACTCGAGGGTTGCGGTGGTCATCTCCGCTTCAAAGCCGAAGAGCCAGCGCTGTCCAAAGACCTTTCCGTGGTCATGTGGCCGGCATGACTAAACACCAAGGCGCACGGAACGCTGTTACCTTCCCACCGAAGTGGTACCTATTTATCCACTTGCAATGTCTTGCTTTCGAACTGCTAGGTTGGCAGGAGCTGGAACTAGAGATGGGAGCTCACTCCATCATGCGGCACACTCGGGTCTTGAACTGCTGAACTACTGACCTTCCACAGCCTGCAGTTCAGCGTCTTAACCACTTGAGCCACCGCAGCTCTTAGGCTGATGATAAAGTGGATGTAGGCCAGGAAACAAATATGTCCCTCCCCCCCACACACATAAAACACAAGGTGCTACCTGGGAAGCTTACCTCCTCCTTCTCAAGAGTGCCAACTGTGGTTATTCAGTAAGGAAAGGAGAAGCACTCTGCACATGCTCTTCCCTTTGTTATTGTTACTTCCCCCCACCTTGCTGTTGTTGTTTTTCTGTCTCAGTGGCAAAGCCGAAAAGCTCTGTGCATGCTCAGAGGCACTCTCTTTGTCACAGATTACAGGGCTCAGATTCAGAAGACTTTTAGGGGTTAGGCTAATGCTGACGTCTAATATCTGTTCACTGCCCTCAAGGTCTCCCAAGTGGAGCATCAGCTGCGGGGCGAACTGAGCCTACTGAGAGGGGAGCACCGGACCTTGGCCCTGAGCGGTGCCGAACACGCCGCCCAAACACAAAGCCTGCAAGCCGAGGTGAGAAACGGGATCACTCAAGGGGAGACATGAGGGAAGAAGAAGAAGAGATTGGATTTATACCCCGCCCTTCACTACCCAAAGGTGTCTCAGAGCGGCTGACAATCTCCTTTCCCTTCCCTTCCCCACAACAGACACCCTGTGAGGTACGTGGGGCTGAGAGAGCTCTGATAGAAACTGCTCTTTTTCAAGGACAGCTCTTATCAGAACTACGGCTTGCCCAAGGCCATCCAGCAGCTGCAAGTGGAGGAGTGGGGAATCAAACCCGGTTCTCCCAGATTAGAGTCCGCGCACTTAACCACTACACCAAACTGGCCATTACATGTCCTTTTCCTGCCCCCTAGAGGGCACTGTCTCTCCAGTTTGTCATGTGGTAAGACAACCCTTCTCCAAACCCCAGCACTTAATGACTGAAGAAAAGAGGTACCCGGAGCTTACTCTATAATATGGCTCCTGTCCTCCCACCTGCCCTCTCATGATTGTGTAGGGCCTAGCAGTGGTTACTCCCATGGGAGGGAAGGACAGGCTGTACGTGTCCAGAAATACTCTTCCTCATCAGTCCTTCCCACTTGCTGGTGTGACCTTGGGTCAGTCAGAAGTTCTCTCAGAGCTGTTCTCTCAAGGGCAGTTCTCATAAGAGCTCTCTCAGCCCCACCTACCTTGCAGGCAGTGTTCCCTCTAAGCTGAGTTAGTGCGAGCTAGCTCACAGTTTTTTAGCCTCTGGCTCACAGATTTCTTCCTTAGCTCAGGAAGGATGACTCCAGAACAAACTAGTTTATGCAGTAGCCAAATCACTCGCTCACAGCTTTAATGTCAGTAGCTCACAAAGTAGAATTTTTGCTCACAAGACTCCACAGCTTAGAGGGAGCATTGCTTGCAGGGTGTCTGTTGTGGGGAGGGGAAGGGGAAGGGATTGTAAGCCGCTCTGAGACTCCTTCAGGTAGTGAAGGGCGGGGTATAAATCCAATCTCTTCCCTCTCTCTTCTCTCTCTTGCTTCATGTTCCTCAATCTAAGAAGCCTAAACCAAAAATCTTATCTGGCCACACAGCCCCCGCTAGCCACCTAAACTCCCAAACAGATTAGAGCTATCAAAGTGAAAATCTCTTATCTCCTGCCGCTGAGGCTTGTGAAGTGGCTGGCTCCGATTCCAGACATCTCAGAGGACATATGCATGCCTGTGTGTGAAAGAGAGAAAACTACCACAGGAAGGTCCATGCTAGTGGCATCCTGTTGTCACACGGACTGCGCATTCAAACCCAGTGTATGGCGGGGACAGGGGGGAAAGGTCATCGCTCACATCAGCCTGTCCGTTCCTGAATCCATTCTGAACTGCTCCACAGTTGTATCCTGCATCTGTATCCAGCCAGCTGTTAGGCTGTTCGGGGTGCCAAATGGCCAGCTATTTAATTTATAGTTATATTTTTACTGGGCATGGAGAAGGGCTGCCATTTGGAGTTTCTTCCTCTGGCAGCAAAATGACCGCCTCAAAATACAGACCCTCTAAGAGGCATTAGTTCTCAGTAGTGGGGAGAGGGGACCTGAGTCTGGCTTGGAGGAAGCAGCGACCACTTCTGTTTAATCCCCACTCCTCGCCCCCTCCCCCCAGAATCTTCTCTTACAGGAGTGGAAGCAAGATCTGGAGAAGCAGGCCCGCCAGTTTCGGGAGGAGAACGAATCCACCCAGGCCCTGGTGGACACCTTGCACGACAACGTCCTCCTCTTACGCAGAGAGACTCATGAGAAGGAGCTGCGGGTAAATCTAACAACAGCAAACCCTAAGCGCGGCACTACACTGAGTGTATCTGTTACTTCTACCAGGTTAGAGGGCGAGTCCTGAGGGGCTCAGGAGTTAAGGTGGGACCGGGAGGAAATCAGTTATGACGACAACAGTAAAGACGGCGGGTTGTTCAGAGAGACCTGTTTGCCAAGAATGGGGAAGAAGAGGGGTTCGATAAGGTCGCTTTACCTCATGGAGGAACTTCCCCCACCACACACAACTGATTTTCCGCTTTCTGCCCTTCCTTTCTGTTCCTCATCCCCAGATGAAGCTGCTCGAAGCCGAAGCGGAAGAGCTGCGGGCGTCCAACCGCCGTCTTCAGAACCAGGTGAAGGAGATGAAGGAAGAGATCCGGCTGCACGACTCGGATACCTCCATCACGTCCATCCAGTCGGAAATTGAAAGCAGCTTAGAGGACGCTCCGGGAGCACCTGGGCAGACCCCAAAGGTACAGGAAAGAGGAGGAGGAGCTCATGGTTTACCTATTCACGCTGTGCGTTAATCATTTTAAAAAAAACAGCAACAACCTGGAATCTGTCTGCCAAAATGGGAAATGTAGAAGACAAAGTCCACCTTGGGAGCCCTTAAGGAACCATGGGCAGGAGAGGAATAAATGATTTGGAAATCCCCCCAACACACCTTTCCCTTCTCCATTGGATCAGGAAAAAAAGTTTTCTCCCTTTTGTAGAGGCTTTATTGGATGCCATCTATTAGGTGATGTTACTTCACCCCAAAGGTACAGGAAAGAGGAGGAGGACCTCATGGTTTACCTATTTATGCCGCGCGTTAATCATTTTTAAAAAAAACAACAACAACCTGGAATCTATCTGCCAAAATGGGAAATGTAGAAGACGAAGTCCACCTTGGGAGCCCTTAAGGAACCATGGGCAGGAGAGGAATAAATGATTTGGAAATCCCCCCAACACACCTTTCCCTTCTCCATTGGATCAGGAAAAAAAGTTTTCTCCCTTTTGTAGAGGCTTTATTGGATGCCATCTATTAGGTGATGTTACTTCCCTCTATGGAGCTGCGGTGGCTCAAGTGGTTAAGACGCTGAACTGCAGGCTGCGGAAGGTCAGTAGTTCAGCAGTTTGAGACCCAAGTTGTTGCATGACGGAGTGAGCTCCTGTCTCTAGTTCCAGCTCCTGCCAAACTAGCAGTTCGAAAGCAAGAAATTGCAAGTAGATAAATAGGGACCACTTCAGTGTGAAGGTATCAGCGTTACGTGCACCTCGGTGTTTAGTCATGCCAGCCACATGACCACGGAAACGTCTTTGGACAGCGCTGGCTCTTCGGCTTTGAAACGGAGATGAGCACCGCAACCCTAGAGTTGGACTCGACTGGCTTTCGAGCAAGGGAACCTTTACCTTACTTCCCTCTATACCTTGAAAAGCTTCAGCTGCCCATTTCCACACCTTAAACCTCTACTGGACAGGATAGTTTCTTCAGACCTGTTGGCAACTCTGCTTTTCGAGGGCACAAGCAGCCTAACCCCACCCCCCCTTTAGTGTGTCGTCCCCTCCCCCCGTAACTGACTCTCAGCATTCTAAGAGCAATGAGAAAGTTCAGACCTCAACAGGCCAAAGGTGGAGAGACAGACTGTTCCGTTTTTAAAATTACAAATCAATACTTTGTGCCTGCCTTAGAGACACCCCCAAGTCTTCAGGTATCTGACGAAGGGAGCTTTGACTCTCGGAGGTTTACGCTGTGGAAGCCTTGCTGGTCCGTTTTTGGGGTGCCACTGGGCTTGCATCTTGTTCTCCTGCTGCAGACCAACAGCCGCCCTCTGGAAACGATCCCCAAGTCTTCAGAAACCCCAGCCTTGCCTCCAGGTGGCACCATTTCAGTGCCAACCTGTTAAGACACTCAGCCATGAATTTCACTATTGCTGGAACAAGTTGGGGGCCTGAAGAGAATTATGGGCAGGGAAAAGATTATTGACTGGGAAACTGTTAAGTCGCTCGCTTGACAAAGCAGTCGGAGAGTGATTCAGCAAGAACACAACTTTTATTCTTCAACTCGAACACAACTCCAACACGGATCAACATCTGATAGCCCAGGACAGCCTTTACATTGCAGCTGTCCTGCTTTTAAGCATTCCCGGCTAATATAGCCACACCCACTGTACAAATATCAACCTATGAGGTTGCCGAGATAAGGTCCAATCATATTAGTTCCCGCTCAGGGAGCTTGCTTGAAGTGATTGGCGTGTAACTTCCTGGGCTAGCAATACTATTGGATGGATTTGGATCCTAGCCCAGGACGAAGCTTAACATTACAGTTCAGTTAGATGTTTCACATGCATTCAAGGCAGCTTTGAATACACTACAGACACTTCCCTCTGTCCAAAACCTCCCTCTCAAAGGGAGTTGTAAATTCTTAGCTGGTAGCTAGGTCCGTTTTCTCGCTCCTTTTTCCTTTCATCTTCCTTTAAAAAATTATCACCTGTCCTGAGTATTGTTTAGGCGCTTACAGCAAGGATGCTCTTCACAAGATCTTCTTTTGTTTCAGTTTCTAAGTTTCCTGCATGTCTGGGGAGCCCGGAGCATCCAAGAACCCCTGTCTTGCTAGAGGGTTAGGGTTTGGTTTCACTGCTCTGCTGATAAGATCTCTGATTCAGCAGCATTAGCAGGCTTTGCACAAATTCAAAAACCAATCTGTTTGGTACATCAGAAATGTACCACGTTCTTATTTAATTGGGAGAATTTTCATGCTGCCATCCAGTATGGAGGTGAAAAGAATTTGGGGGTGCGGGGGGATGTCTCAAATTGAAGCAGAAATCTTGTCATCCTATGCTGATTTTTTGCCTTCTGGCATTTCTAGTTCTGCATGTTGCTAGCCTGATAAACTGTGTAAATGTTTAAATGTTGGGTTTCTGTAAATTTTATGGATCCGTGCAGACTTTCCCTTTGACTGCAATTCAGACCTCATTAATTTCTGTAAGACTAAAAAATGCTTCAGCGTCTACCAGATGACACTGTCATGCTATCTGAAGGATTCCTGTGGAAGTCTCTGCTGGGAAGGAGGCAGCCGTGGCTTGGCAGCAAAAGAGGTTCCACTCCAGAGTCAGATGCATCTTAGTGCCACTGATCTCTCACCCTTTGTACATTTGTTTTCTCTAACTCAGCTGATGGTCAACGGCATGGCTAAGACCAGCCCGGCTCCAAAGAATCCCTCACGGAGATCAGAGGAGGAGGAGGCTGAATATGCCAAAAGAGTGTTAGCTCTGACCCACCAGGAACAAGATATACTGAAGCAGAAGGAGATGGAGATCATGAAACTCCAAGATCAGGTACGGGACGCTGTGCCTCCCCGTTGTCATTGTAGGGCGCTGTGTTGTGGGATTGTCTGCAGTTTTTAAAAAGTGTCCTACGTTTTTTTTCTCAGGTCACTCTGCAGTATGTGGAACTTTGCAGTTTAAGGTCGGAGATAGAGAACCAGAGGCGTCTGTATCAAGAGAGCAATCGGGATGAGGCCTTGAAGTTAGCCGTATCAGATCGGGATGAGGCGATAATTAAGTAAGAGATCCCCACGGGCCCTGTCACTACCTCCTAAAGAGGGGGTTGTGGCCCTGTTTATTTATTTGTAACCTCCCCCTTACAAATCACAGCTAAGGCGAACAATATAAGCCATCCGGACCCCATATACAACCTATATTCTTGAAAATCCCTTTATTTATTTATTAAAACATTTGTATTCTGCTTTTCCTCTTGGTTCAAGGTGGTTTGCAACAATAATCAAAACATCCCCAGCTCCGGCCAAAGATAAAATAACACAAACCCCAAATCTCCCCTCCCCCCCTTAAAAGATGCCTGCCATTCAAACACTCTCAAAAGCTCTGGCAGACAGGCAGGCCTTGCAGCGCCTCCTGGAGATCTCTAGGGAAGCACCTCCCCCCTTCGGGGAGCCCATTCCACAAAGCCGGAGCTGATTCAGTCGCCTGTCATTTACACATCCAGTCGCCTGTTGTTTTTTCAGCCATTGGTAGAGAGAGAAGAAGAGAAGAGATTGGATTTATACCCCGCCCTTCACTTGGAGTCTCAGAGCGGCTTACAAACTCCTTTCCCTTCCCCTCCCTACAACAGACACCCTGTGAGGTGGGTGGGGCTGAGAGAGCTCTGACACAAACGGCTCTTTTTCATGGACAGCTGTGCCAAATGGTTAATTGCAGGCACTTCACCTGAAGTCCACTTTTTTTGCAATATTTACAGTACAGTCCTAAGCAGAATTGTTTAGTTTATTTATTTTAAACGTTTCCCCCCAAATAAGGTCCTCAAGGTGGCAAACAGCCAGACATTAAAACATTTAAAGTATTCAAACCGCATGCAAAATATTGATACAATCTGATAAAAACATGCAACATACAAACACAGCACGACAGAATTACATCCTTCTAAGGCCACTGAAGTTAATGCTTGTTGCTTTATATGGTTAATTGCAGGTACTTCACCTGAAGTCCACTTTTTTTTTGCAATATTTACAGTACAGTCCTAAGCAGAATTGTTTAGTTTATTTATTTTAAACATTTCCACCCAAGTAGGGTCCTCAAGGTGGCAAACGGCCAGACATTAAAAGATTTAAAGTATTCAAACAGCATGCAAAATATTTATACAGTCTGATAAAAACATGCGACATACAAACACAGCACGACAGAATTACATCTTTCTAAGGCCACTGAAGTTAATGCAGTCAGCATTACGCTTCCTACACGTTTTGCATGCAAAATGCAAACATGATCCCGGTAATCTTTTTTTGGGTACTTTTTTGTACTTTGTGTGTGTGTGCACGCGTCTGCACCGGGAAGTCATGTCAACCTCTGGCGTCTGACCCCTACTGGGGGCCCAGAGGATATTCAGAGAGGTGGCTGAATAAAGCCTGCCTCTGTCCTCCCAACTTGGTATTCCGAGGAAGTCTCACATCCAGCTACTAACCACAGTCGACCCTGCTTAGCTTCCAAGATCTGACAAGATCGGGCTTGTCTCCTGGGCTACCCAGGTCAGGGCATGGTCCCGGTAATCTTTACAAGGAGCCTGTTGGGATCTCCGATCCAGCTTTGTGCACCCCTGTAATCAGTTTGTTTTGGGATCAGTGCCAGCATTCTTGCAGCCGTTAACGTGTGGTTCGGCTGCCCATTCTATTATTTACATGAAGCATTTTGAGGCCACTGTTCCCAATAAACAAGCAGTGAAAGTCATCAAAGGAGAAAGGGAACGAGGCAGAGGAATGCTCGTGGGTCCTGTGAAAAGATGATGCACACGCTCTCCCCTCTCAATGTCTTACGCTCTTTTTCTACGTATGGTTTGGCCCATCGCCCTGAGAGCTTTCGCAGTGGAGAGATTTATACACCAGCATTCCTGTAGAACTGGAGTGGACAAATTATGGGTGTGGGGCCCACATCTGGTCCATGGGAGCTTTTCCCGTGACCCTGAAGTCGCTTCTGAGGGCGTGTGCAGAATACTGGGCACCCGTGGACCGCTGCACTGGCTCTAGTGGGCTGCCAGCTCCTGTGCAGCTGTGGAAGAGCTCAAGGGCCAGGACTGCCAGCTCTGGGTTGGGTGGGAAATACCTGGAGATGTTGGGGGCGGAGGAGGGTGGGGTTTGGTGAGGGGAGGGGCCTTCAGCAGGTTCTGATGCCGTAGAGTCCACCTTCCAGGTGGGCTGATCTCCATTGCCTGGAGCTCAGTTGTCGTCCTAGGAGGTCTCCAGCCACCACCTGCAGGTTGGCAACCCTACTGAGGGCTGTGTGTCTTTTAGGGCCACTGAGGGGAAGGAAGGGCCCCCCTGTTTGCATCGGCACTCATTTGTTTTTTAAGTCATCTTTATTCATTTTAATCAAACGTGTAATACAGTTTTTGAAGGCTTCCTATTAGCTTCCGATCCTTCCTGTTTCCAAGCTTTCTACCTTGGAACCCTGAAAAGTCAGCAGAGACCCAGATGTGGCTCCCCAGTTGAAACATCTGTCCACCTCTCCTCCATGGGTGACTTTTCGGGCCACCTTCTTCAGCTAGGGTGCTGAGCCTCTGCTTCTCCCCTTCGCCTCCTCTCCTTGCTTCCCCCTGGGGCGTCGAGGGGCTGCTGGAGCCAGTCTCAGCCGCCATGTTTCCTTACGGTCAGGGCTATTTTTGGGCAGGAGCACACAGGAACGGAGTTCCAGCTGGCTCCCAAGTTGGCCACGCCCAGCAGGAACTCATTAGCATAATAGGCCACACCCAACAGCAGAAACTCATTCGGATTGGCTACAATTACGGGTGTGTGGCCTAACAGGCAACAAACAAGGTAAAGAGAATAAGAAGCAAAAGGTGGGTGTGGCTGGATGACCACACTTCTGGTAATGTGGGGGTGTGGCCTGATATGCGAATGAGCTGTGCTGTCAGGGTGTGGCCTAATATGCTAATGAGTTCCTGCTGTTGGGTATGGCTTATTATGCTAATGAGTTCCTGCTGGGCTTTTTCTACAAAAAAAGCCCTGCTTACGGTGCATCTCCTTCTCCACGGCAGCTTTCCCCGTTGTCTTGTCAGCATCATTCAGTCCAAAGAAAAGGACCTTAAACTATCCGGATTAAATCCCTCTTGCCTGCGATACTGCCCTGTTTACTTCTACGTGTTAATGCGTAACTTAGAGGGAAGGGAATTAGCTCAAATGATCTTAATCAGTTGCAAGCGCGTAGGCGTTTCTCTTCTGTGTTACTTTGAAGCATGGCTTTCCAAGCTTTCTGGCTCTGGGGAACCCTTTCAAGAGGGAGTCGCCTGCCGAGGAGCTGCTGCCTGTGCAGCACAGAGAAGCTGGGGAGCGTTCTGGGACACGGACTAATTTCCTGTCGGGTACCGGCCAGGGTTCTGGGCCAGCTCATGGCTCCAGATGAGCAGCGAGTACGTCTGTCCTCGAGTACACCTCTGCAGCTGCACATTTTGAGAGCAGCTAGTTATAGGCAAGCATTCAGGAAAATTGCAGAGAGGTGGCTATGTTGGTTGGTTGTAGGAAAATAAAGCAACAGTCCAGTGGCACCTTCAAGACTAGCAACGCTTATTTCAAGCCCGTCTGGCTGTGGCCATTAATAAGAAACTTCTTCTTTTTTTTTTAATACCCATAGGTACACTTTTATTATTATTCATATTATACACATACATACATACATA